CTTCCCAGAGATCCACATGAAACAAGTCCTCCTAGAAATCATTTTCAGACACCCAAAGAACAATAAAGTGATTGGGGGTAGTCAGCACAGATTTATGAAGTGGAAATCTTGACTAACCTGACAGCCTTCTGTGAAGAGGTAGATTACTGTCTTGGTGGGTGAGGGCAGAGAAGTGGATGTTGTTTATTTTGACCTTAGTATAGCTTTTTTACACTGTCTCCCATAACATCCTTAGACAAACTGATGAAGTACAGATGAGATAAATGAGCAGTGGACTGAAACCTGGCTGAACTGATGGGCTCACAGGGTTGTGATCAGTGGCACAAAGTCCAGCTGGAGGCCAGTCATTAGTGGTGTACACCAGGGATGAATATGGGGGCCAATACTGTTTAGTGTCTTCGTTTATAACCTAGACAGCAGGACTGAGTATGCTCTCAACAAGCCTGTAGATGATTTAAAACTTGGATGAGTAGTTGATACACCAGACAGTTCTGCTGCCACGGGAGAAAAGGATCAGCAGGAACCTCATGAAGTTTAGCAAAGGCAACTGCAAAGTCCTGCCCCTGGAGAGTAGTAACCCCATGCACCTGTACAAGTTGGGGGCTGACCAGCTGGAAATCAGTTTTACAGAAAAGGCCCTGGGGGTCCTACTGGAGACCAAGTTGAACATGAGCTAGCAATGCAGTGTTGTGGCTAAAAAGGCCAGCAGCATCCTGGGCTGCATTAGGAGGAGCCTCACAAGCAGGGCTGGTGGGGCAATCCTTCCTCTCGGCCTCGATGAGACCACATCTGGAGTGCTGTCCCTTATGCTGGGCCCTGGAGTACAAGATAGACCTTGACATACTGCAGAGAGTCCAGCGGAGAGGGCCACCGGTATGGTCAGGGGCTGGAGCATTTGGCATATGAGGAGAGACTGAGAGAGCTGGGATTGTTTAGCCTGGAGAAGAGAAGACTCAGGGTGGATCTCACCAGTGTGTGTAAATACCTGATGGGAAGGTATAGGAGCCAGGCACAGTGAAAGACAAGAGGCAATGGGCACAAACTGAAAGACAAAGAAATTCCATTTAAAGAAAAAGGTTTTTTACTGTAAGACTGATGGAACAGAGGAACAGTATCCCCACAGAAGTTGTGTAGTCTCCCTCCTTGGGGATAGTCAAAACCAGAGTGGACATGGTCAGTTAACATCCTGCTCTAGTTGACTTTGTTTTGAGTGAGGGTGTTGGACTAGATGGTCTGCAGAGGTCCCTTCCTACCTCAACCATTCTATGATTCTTTGAAAGCATGCCTGACCAACTGGTTGCTTTCTTCGATGAGGCAAGTGGTGCTGCGGACAAGGGGGAGTGAGTGGATTTTGCATACCTTGACTTTGGCAGGGCCTTTAACCCAGTCTCCCGTTGTGTCCTTGAAGACAAATTGGTGAGGTATGTACCGAGTAACCGGACAAGAAGATGGGTGGAAAATTGGCTGGACTCTCAGTGGAGTTATGGTCATTAGTGCAAAGTCCACTAGGCAGGTATTAATTAGGGGAGGGCCCCTCGGAGATCAGTACTGGGACCAGTACTATTTAGTGTCTTCATTAGTGACCTGGATGATGGGATGAAGTGCACTCTAAGCAAGTTTGTGGGTGATTGAACATTGGTGGGAATATATTGGAAGGCAGGGCTGCTATTCAGAGAGACCTTGGCAAGCCCAAGAAATGGGCTGATGGGAACTTGGTGAATTGGAAAATCCTGCTTCTGGGATGGAATAACCCCAGGCTGCAACGCTGCAGGCTGGTGGGGGTGAGTGCTTGGGAAGTAGCTCTGCAGAGAAGGACCTGTGGATCTTGGTGGATGACAGAAGGCAACAGTGCGCTCTTGCAGCCAAGGTGGCCAGCCATCTTCTGGACTGTATTAGTGAGAGTGTGGCCAGTAGGTCAAGGCAAGTGACTCTGCTCCTGTAGTTGACACGGTGCTCTAGATGTGGTCTCACTAGTGCCCAGTTCTGGGATCCTCGGTACGAGAAAGATATGAACACGGTGGAGCAGGTCTGCCAAGACAGTCAGAGGGTTGGAGCACATGACACACAAGGAGAGGCTGAGAGAACTGGGTCTATCCAGCCTCAAGAAGAGAAGGCAAAGAGGAGACACCTTGTTGCTGTCTACAAGTACCTGATCAGAAGCTATAGAGAAGCTGGAGCCAGACTCTGCTTGGAGATGCACTGAGGTGGTGCAAGAGGTAGTGGACACAAGGTAGAACATGGGAAATTCTGCCTAGATGTAGGGATTTGATTTAGTTTTTTAAACCATGGGGGTGGCCGAACACTGGCTGAGAATGGCCGATCTGATTAGACCTGCTTAGAGCAGTACACTGGACTAGTTGGTATCTGGAGGTCACTTCAAAAATATTTTTTTTCTGTAATTCTACAATTCACTAGGGTTGTGATTTCCATTTTTATTTGTAAATGTGAACTAGGGACATAAAAATGTATTTGACTTCATTTTAATTGTCGATTTATTATAACAGGTAGACCTCTTCCCTGAAAATATTTTATTTTTAAACAGACTTCTTGAACTCTCCATAACATTCTACTCTCTTTACTTCCCTCCTTAAATGTACTGCATTTCTGTTATCTGACTTTAGTATTTTATTTTCACTCTGAGCACAAATTCTGTAAAGAATTTCCTTGAAGGAAGAGAGACTTAACATGACAATCTTTAACCTCCTAGATTTGGAGACTTGTATGTGGGAGAACAATATGTCTTGATCTGAAAGACACATTCTGCAGCAGTCTGCTCATTTACAACTTTAGAATATTTGAAAGAAGATACGGCAGCAGAAAATTTTCAGTAAGTTCCAGTTACTTTTTTTTGTAAACAAACTGTTTTCTACACTGTGTAGAATCTTGTAGTCTTGGATTAATATAGCAGTTTTATTACTGACATTTTGTATGGAGATATATGTTAAAGGGTTTTAGAGAGAGTTTGGTTTCCATAAATCTAAATTTATATTGATAATATCTTGTAGTCAATAGATTATTCTAATTAAAGTTTGCAGCTGTGTCAGTTGAAAGTTATCAGACCCATAGAATTAATTTTGGTAACAAATCTAACCATTCTTCAGTATCTAGATGTGTAGATCTGGAATTATGTTGTGCTAAAGATTTTATTTGTCTTAATTGAACTAGTATAGTGGTTTTCTTGTTTTTTCTTTTATTTAGAGATGCATTAAAACCTTATTTTTAAACTGTTGAATTAATTAAAATCAAACTTTTTCTTTCCAGTCCTTTTTACTGGGTGCTTGGATGCTCTCAGCTTTGTTTGATCTTCTCCTTGTAGAAATCGCTCAGTATATATTTGGCATCACCATCAACAGCTTGCCTTCTGGTTTGTAAGTAGCTCCTAATGGATTGGTTATTTTAGATGCAGTTTCAAAGGATTATTTTGTGTAGATTTTAATTTAAAAAAAACTTTCTTCATTTAACCCTTTAAACTAAATTTAATCTTGAGATACAGTGTAAAGGTTCTTGGCACAACTATTATATTTTCAAACATTCATTTCCTAGTTGTGATCTGTGGTTAATTAATTTATAATTTATCCATATATTGATTACTTTCCATTCTGTTAGTCGCATTTCCACTGTCAGCATGATTGAAATACGGCTTGCAGTGCACAAATTATTGCCATATTTTGTTTTGTTCATTTCAGTGAATCTGAAAACTGAAATCACGTTGGTGCTGATTTCTTTCTTAAATCACAAAGACAGCACAACTGTAATTCATATCTTCATGTTCACTTTTAAATGCATATGCAGTTATATGCATTTCATACTGTTATTTTGTATGTTTGTGTTTCAAAAATTTACTGCTAGAGCATGTTATTCCATTTAGTGCTTGCATCTGAAGTTCTTAAAGCCTTAAGATATTTAGTGGTTCAGGTTTGCATGACGTATATTTGAGATTTCTGCACTTAGTAAGAGATGTTCGTGTTACAGTAGAACTGTAGAGCTTGCAGAGCCTTTGTGGTTAAGCTTCTGACAGGTGAGATCAGCCTCATACAGACTAGAATTTTCATGTGTCGCACACTCTCAGGTAATAATAAAAGCTCTTGGAGTGAGATTTTTAATATTAAACACCATATTAGGCTTTTTTTATTTCTGCCTTTTTAGTGTGTCCCTTGAAAGTAGCTAACAACTGATTTAATAAGGAGGAAATAGTGTGTGTTTGACATTATAAAGATATATTTTTTGTAGTGTGTGAGTATTCAAAAGGACTTGAAAGCTTGAGTAGTACTGCAGTTACTCATCACGTTTACTACCTTGAAGTTTGTTGCTGGGACATAGGCTGCTAGTGTGTCTGGACAAATTCAGTATTTTCATCTGTGTAAAAAGATACTGTGTGCAAGAGTAGGGTGTAATAAATGTGCACATCATACCCACAGGGAACTAATAAACAGTTTGACTATTATACCTTTTGATGGTATTTTTATCTATGGCTGCAGAATGTTGTCAGTTACAAAGAAATTGGCATCAAAGAAGTTTTTAGTTGAATGAAATATAAATGTTACCTACATATGCTTTCTATTTAAGTCGTGCTGACATTGATCTTGAGAGAATGAAGCTAATTTTAGAACTGTGGAATATACAGTAGTTTCAGGAGCATTTGTTTGTGCAGATATAAAAAATCAATATATATGTTGCATCATAATTCTTCAGTGTTGTCTGCTTTATTATACTAATAGTCACTTTTTCGTATCTGACAATATTCACAATCTTTTGAGATGACAAAAGCTTTGGCAAGTTTAACACCAGTACTAAGTTCTAGTTCATTTCAGGTTTACAAAAGCTGTTGAGCAAATTTAAAGAGGTGCAGTTATTATTCTGCTTCTCTCATATTTGCAGTGCAACAAATTTATCTGTTACTTCTGGTTATAGACCATTCTTCAGTGTAGGCATAATGCTAGAATTCAGAAAAAGAATCACTTGTTTACATTATAAAAATCCCCTGACATTTTTTTCTCTTTTTATATCATTTCACTGTTCATATTATTGAGTGATCTTACACTTCCAGTTCGAAAACTTTTCCTGCGCACACTTCGAAGGTAATTGCGATAAAGGATTACACTGATGACTCTCGCCTGAAATTGTTTAGAAACAATATAGTACAGTATAACATCCAAGCATGTACTGAGATTCATGAGAAAGGTGGTAAAGGCTGCCCAGGGATTGTAAGTTGTATCTTCATCTTGCAGCATCAGGAAGGCGAAGCAAATGTGGAAGGGTACAAAGCAGACAAGTACTTGAGCAATCAGAGTCACTATAATTCTTATGGATCTCTCCTTGGCCTTAGGCTTCAGTTTGGAAGTCTTGCCGCGGATAAAGTTGTAAATAATGACTAGGTAACACCCTATCATGATAAACAAAGGAATCAAAAAGAAAAAAATCAAGCGAGAAAAGTTCAATGTATTTACTTCCTTTAAATGGATGATATCAAGCATTTTCGTGCAGGTGGTGAAATTCGAGGCTTTGTCTGGATCAGATTGTAAAAACAGCAGTGGGGATGTTGTTGCAAGGGTCATTACCCAGATTCCAGTGCAAGCCAGCACAGCTTTTTTTGTATTTTTTAGTTCTTTGACATGTTTGGGCTGGACAATAGCCATAAATCTGTCTACACTTATAAAACTGAGCAACCAAAGAGCAATGGCTGGGTAAAATATAGTGAAAGCACTGATAATGCGACAGAATGTATCTCCGAAAGGCCATGTTTCTTTCCCGTGGTAGATTATCCGAAAAGGCAAGGAAAATATAAAAATTATGTCAAGTAATGCCACATTCATCATATATACAGTTATAGTTGTTCTCTTCTTGGTAGTGCAGCTGAAAACCCATAGTGCAGTGGCATTCACTAACAATCCCACTGTGAACACAAAGCTGTAGAAGACCAGTGATGCAATCCTGTATTCTTCAGGGTGGTGACTTCCAGGCATCATATTTTAATTGAACTTAGGAATAGTTTTTGCACTCCATAAATACCCTATAAATAAATAAAATATGAAAAGTTATTCTCAGTCGGATAAAAGCTTTCTTTAAAAACAAACAAGATGATTGTTGTAGGATGGGGCTTAGTGATGATATTGTATTTTTTAGTTGTGAAAATGTGCTAGATTTGTTGCTTTTTCTGACTACAAATACATAATTGTGCTCTGAAGGAAGTACATGTACTGTCAGACTTGTGAGAAATAGTATTTATAAGCTAGTTTTAATTAAATATTTTTAATTACTTAAGAGATTTCTAATATAAGGAATCAAAAAGTCAAGATTGACCAGCTGCTCTGTGTGCGCTTCAGTAGTGGATAGTTAGATTGAAACGGCTGTAATTGAGGCAAGAGAGCTATTTTCTAAAGAAAATATTTCTTCAAGTTGTCCCTGCTGAAAAAGTAATGACTAAGACTAGTTTGAAAAGAAATAAGTGAGCATGGCATGTAGTGACATTTGGATATGAAAAGTGAAATACTGACTTTGCATTTTATCTGTGTAGGAACTACTTAGCTCCCAAAAGAATAGGTGCGTGCTGTTGCTCATAAAAGACACTAAAAAGCTATCTTAATAGCTTCTGAATGAGATGAATGGATTGATATACTTCCTGTTTAAAAAGTAAAAAAGATGGAAGCAGCGCAGTCTCCAGCCAGGCTCTATGTGAACAGTATTTGTTGGGGGGGAAGTTGCTGACTGGTAGCCTGCTGTGCAGAGCATGGTTGTGTTGCTTCTCTCTGCTTCTTGGTCACAGGGGTTGGACATCTGAAATCTCGTTACGCAGACTCAGGTGATGAGAGCTGAAAGAGATTATCGCCTGGTTTACTGGGCAGCCATTTGGGGATGGCGGACCTTACCTGGTGTTTGCATGGGTGTTTTGGTTAACCCGCATCCCCCTGCTTTCCTGGCTCTTGCTGTGGTCACAGTTTCATGACTTTGCATGGGAGGGTTCCTCTTGTTTGGCCTTTTACCCAGCCCTGTGGCAGCTTTATGAAGAGGAGGAGGAAGGAGTTAGTTGGTTGTCTGGTCTTCTCTCTTGTGACAGGCAGCCAAGTAACTTCTACAGAATAAGTTAGGCACCAAAACTGCTCTCAAGAGCAGAAGAGTGCATAGTTCCTGTGTGTTTTATCTCCAAAAGTGGAGAATGCATGAAAAAAAAGCTTATTGTTACTGCTCATCTGGTTTATGTGTTCACCGTAATGTAACCGGGTACTTTTTTCAGTGGTATAGGAATACACAGGGGATTGAACCACTGTTTATTAGTCTAGCATCCTGGTCCTACACTGGCAAATATCAGCTGCTTTCAAGAAGAGTATCCATGGAGTAACTAACTTAAGTATGACCTATTAAATGTTTCTTCAGGTTAGTTTCTGCCTTGAAATATTAAGTTTGGACTTCTGATTTTCTTACAATTCTCCAGTTTACAGATATATAAAAAAAATAATGCATACTGTCTCAAAGATAGGTTTTTTTAGCTGTACAAAACAAAAAGGTGTTTTCTGATCAGATGTAACAGAATTCACGTTCTGTATGGGAAAAGCTATGCGTATAATACTGACAAAAAAGAGGTTTGGAGGGCATCTGTCTGAATTCCTTCTAAATTACCTCATTGTGTGAAGAACACTAAAAATAAAAAAAAATTATGGAGTGATAGCAGACCTTATTGAAAGGTGGATGGCATATGCTTGAAAGAAAATTTTTGTAGCCCATGCTTGTAGCACAGTTGAGAGATTTTCTGGCATACTGTCCCACTTTCATTACTGTTGCATAAAATTGTCCAAATATTGCTTAACAACCCCCCCGCCCCAGCCCCTGCACATTTTAAGTGTTTTTTTCTCTTTTGTTCTGTTTTTTTTTCTCTCTTGATAGTGGTTGTGTATGACATGGTGCATGACTACCTATCTCAAGATCCTGACTGATTTAGCAGGTGAATTGAGTAGTAATGTATAGGATAGGTAGAAGAATTCACTTTTTATAGATGAATGTTAATAAACAGTATGGATTTTGGTTTTGGTTTTGCTCTTCTCTCTTTTGGGCTTTCAGTGACTATGTTTCTGGTCAGGTCCTGTTTCCAAAAGAACCAGCAGGCTGATGTTGATGAGAAGAGAGGAAGCTGAATCTGGCATGAGCTTCTATCAGGAAAACCTGTGGTTCCATCCCTTATTTACTGTTTATTTCAAGCTTGTGCCAATTTTGAGATGTATCAAAGAATGGACCTACTGTAACAAAAAAGGGGGGGGGGGGGTTGTTTAGTTGTTGAAGACACTGTTTTCAAACTTTCTGGGTTTAAATGCATGTCAGTGTTATAATTAGGTACTTCTCCTAAATTTAATTTTTAAGAATCTAAAATTTAACATTTATTTAGGTATGAAATAATGAGATTTTTTAAAAGTATGTAGTTACCTATCTGCATTTATACAGGAATACAGATGTTCTGCTTTTTCATCAGTACTTGTCTGCATGGAGTTCAGGTTGATGTCTCCCAGGTCAGCCCAAGTAGATCTCTGGGTGCCTCCGAGTGGATGGTTTTGCCCTAGTTGCCATTCTTTGTAATGGGAACACTTACTTACTGGTATTGATTAAAGCGCTTGCTGAAAAGCCCCTGGAGTCACCAGTTTCTGGATGTCTGTCTGTGTTAATTCTGAATGATTACTCTGATGCTGGTCCATGTGTTTTACCAATCTGTTTTAATTTTTTAATGGTAGCTGAGGTCCTGAATATCTAATGTGAATTGTGAAGCCCATCTAGGTGCTGTGTATGAGAACAAAGATTTTCAGAACAAAACAAAAGAATTAAATCTCTTCCTCCATATTCGTATTATGAGTTAGGCAACAGTGACTCCGTTTAAAGGATTGTGTGTGTATCCCTGTTCCCCATCCCCTTTTTTTTCCTTTGGCTGTCCTTTACATTTGCTCACATTTTCCTGAGGAGGACATGGTTTTCAGTGAAGCACAGAGAGACCAAGCAACAAGATCTTCTCCTGGTTTTAGTTTAATGAAAACAAACATTTTTCCTTTAGTGATAACGTACTTACTAATGCTTTTAGTTACTGCATATCTTTAAATTTATTGTTAAAATCCTAAACAACAGTATTTATGGTACTATGCTTCTACAGATGCAGTCATTTTGCTTTAAATGTTATTTATAGAATGCTCATACTTTGAAAGTGCATTAAAGAATTAAATATCTTTTCATTAGTTCTAGAATTAATGCCTGTGTTCAGCTTCTGAAGAAAGAAGTCTGTCTTGGCAACATACATAAACATCCAAGTTACTTTGTTAGCATAGCATAATGGATTGTTACTCACCTTTTGTGCACTGCAAAGTTGCTTCAGAGATGCTCCTTTCATAGCCCCAAATCTGTAGAAGGTTTAGACTTCCTCTTCTCTGCTCAGCTTCACTTAGCTAAAATAGCTCCTTTTCACAGGCAGGAAACAATGACGTAATCTAGCTAGTTCTGAGCCCTTCTATTGGTCATACTTAATATTTCACATACGTGCGGTGTCTGTGAACTGATATTTCTCATACCTTTCAACAGGCAAGCTTTTACAATATTTCCAGTGTGGTCAAACTGGGGTGTTGTGCTATGTATCTTTTTTAAAATACATTTTTAAATGTTTGTGATATAATAAAAGCATATTTTTAGTTCACATTTACATGCAAAGTTATCTGCAAGAATACGCATCTTGGTTATGCAGAAGTTTCTCATAAGCACAATGTAAATGTATTTTCTGTAGAGTGTAGTCTGTTTTTTGTGGAAATCCCCATTTTATTTATATTGCCTTGGATAGTAGTCAGTCTGAAAGTGACAGAAACTTGCTACATTTGAAATGAGAAGTTTGATTCACTTGAATTCACAGCCTTGTTTATGCCTGTACTTACCATGTTTTGCTAACACAACAGCAGTGTTTCAATATTTTATTTGCCATCTAAAATAATAACATGCCTATTTAGGACCTTTGCAGAAGAATGCTGTATGAAGAGAGGTTTTTAGCCTTTGTTAAAATGGATTAAAACCTCTGAACTGTGCCACTGCAACAGACATCTTTGGTGGGATGAGAGTCTTCACAAAGGCTAATAGGTAAAGACGACGAATTTCCTATGTTTTCTCTTTGTCAACTGGAAAAAAGATCCAACCTTTGAAAGAGCCATTCAGAGGAGATCATTCCAAATTCTCTGTAGACTGCTCACTAGCTCCAGGTCTCTGACTGGCAGTCTTTGGGACATTGAAGCACACTTCGGAGAGTGTGGTACCTCTTGAGGCCTCCTGGGTTTTTCCCCTCCAAATGAAGCAGAGATGTGTGTTGAGGAAAGGAGCAGTAATGTTTCAGTCTCCTCCTGGCATGCAGTGAAGAATTTGCCAGGATGTGTACCTGGTGCCAGAAGCAACGAAGTCCTGCAGTTCAGATGTAGCCAGAATCAGATTGGTTTGTGGGGACGTCTGTCTTCACTGACTGTAAAAGGAACGTAGGTAGGTGATCCTCACTTAGTGCTAAAGATAGCTTCTGTGAAAAAAACCCTCTCTGCTAGAGTCATGCATTTTATCTCAGCTGAATGGGTTTGTGGTAGTGCGTAGGTATTTGCTTAGGTCAGTGTGATGGGTGAAGTAATCACAGGGAGGGACCTGGGTATGGTTATCAGTGTGTAGATTAATAATATCTTTAAATATTTGGTCTTTCCTGTTTAGGTGAACTAAGACCAAACAATTTTTGTGATCATTCCAGAGAACTTTTAAGTGCAATGAGCTGCAAATCCTACCCAGACCATCCTGTAGAAATATAAATCTATTAAAAAGTGCTTAATGTGGTAGGATTAAGGTGTATCTTAAAAGGACTAACCAATGTTGAAAACTCTTCAGTGGCTTTATCATTAGCAAAACAACTCTGGAGCATGCTTCAGCAGGATGAGTCACTCGTACTGTTTTCAAGTTTAGCGAAAGCTCATTGAGATTCAGTGACATACATATTTTTAAAAGGTTTAAAAAAGAATGTATGACTCCTGGAAGAGAATAACTAGGCTTTTGAACTCTCCTAGGCAAGAGTACTTTATTTTGGGAAAAATAAAGTACAGAACTCTGGAGGTCCCTTCGCACCTAACTGGACTATGAATGTACTGAAACAAACAAGTGAATAGACAGTGCCCCCCTTAGCTGAACAGGGAGTACAAAAGTCATTCTGGATTTGGACAGAAACCAGGCAGATGTTGAGGCTGGGATCGGAAAAGCTGTATGCTGTGAAATGCCTCTTGGCTTGCTGTCTTCTTGCTGGAGGTTCAAAAGGGTTAGGTTTCACAGCTATGTCTCGTTTTTTCTGAAGAAGGTGGCTGACATCTTGACCCTACAGGGGAGGTCATGCCTTGTGAGGGCTGACTTAGCGGTTTACACAGGTGGTTAACAGCAGCTGGGTTGCGTTTACTGGCAGGTTAGCTATCTAGCTGGTTTGCCGTAACATATCTATGTCAGTCTGTGTTCTGCTTTCACCCAGGCTTTTCACAGTCTGCCTGGAGGAGAAGAGGCAGCCGAACTGCTCTGCAGCTGACAGGCTGGAAGGCTTTCCCCCGAGCGTGGTGGGGCAGCTCTGTCTGGCAGCGGTGTGCTGAAAAGAGGTGTTTGGACTTCCAGCGAGCGTGTGCTCCTTCTTGTCTAGTTGCTTAGGCTGGCTGCAGCTGCAGGGTGACAGACATTTGGACGTGAACACCCGAGCAGAGGGTTGCGCTAACTGTGGTTTGCGAGAGGCAGTGGGCTGCTCTGCTGTGCTGCGTTCCCCTGGCGCTTCGGTTTGTGTTGTAGGAAGCACCTGACTCTATTTTTGTTTCTTTCTCCTTCTGTACTATTTTATCAGCTAGAGATGAGTGTCTTGCATTGGTTTTCCTCAGGCGGGTGAGTATTTCCACCGCTCTAGCTTTTACTGAAATAAATGCTCAGTTCCCTCCAGGGTCTTTTTTTCCTATTCTGAAGTTCGGAGAGCAAAGAAGATAATTTTAGTTGCGTTATGTTCTCTTAAAGCCATTTTTGAGTAGTTAAAAGCTAAGCCGATGTACTTCATGTCTGAGGATAAGGCAGAGTGCACATGTGGTCTATCACGCTGCCTTCACTGGCAGTAAGCCTCAGAGGAAACGAGCTTGACCACTTGCAACGATGAAAGTGCAGCACTGAAGGCATTGTCTTCATGCTATTGCTTTTGCAGGAATAATGTACTGCTGGGTCTTTCTCCTTCAGTGGTTTAGTCACGGTACAGAAAAGTATATTTTGCCTGTCCGCTTAGCGTGTAATGTAAGCTTTGTCCAGCTGGTAGAGAAGCTCTGGGTGCAGAGGGGCAGAAGGATCACCCTCCGCTTCAGTTTGTTAAGGAGCAGGCTTGAGCTTGTGTTGTCCTTCTTCTTCTAAACTTTATATCATTTGGACCTATTGAAAAGAAAGAACTGAAGCTTCTTGCACAATCCAGTGCACTAGTGGTGCAGGGAGCAACTCTCCCATGTGTCCGTTTGTTAACTTACCGGCTTGATGTGGGCGAGTTCACGTGTAGTTTTGGTTTGCTGTTCTCAACCTTGATGAAATTGTGCTTCACTTTTTATTCCCATATTGTGTTGTACCATAGTGAAGGTTTAAGAATAGACTACTGGTTAAAGTTGTCATGGCACTGAATGCATAAACTTATTGCAATTGTTTCCAGTTTTGCCATATCTGTGTTACTCAGAGGCTGCATCATGGCACACCAGTCCCTCCTCTCCCACTCCTCAGCCTGTGAGTGAGTATAAACGCTGTGTGCAGCAGAGCTGAAGAAATGAGAAACAGAGCAGCTTGAGAGGACTGCAGCCTTGTTAGCTGTGCCTGACATCCTAATTACGGTCACACTTTGCTTTCTCTTCTGTATTTTGCTAGAATTTGGTATGGTTTGAGGAAGGAATTTCTGATTTTTTTCCTTCAAAACAAAATAAATAATGAAACTGACATTCAATGTTTCTTCTGTTTGGTGTTTGGGTTTTTTTCCCCTCCTTCTCTTGTGCAGCCAGGACACACCCTGTGTCACTGAATACCCTAAAAATATACAGTGCATCTGGCCTGCAGTTCATCTGTTCAGCAGCATCAGCCTTTGAAAGAAGCAATACTTCAAAAATTAATTGAAATGAAAGTTGCATCTCTAAGGTGTCTTAGAGTGGGGTAGTGGACTAGAGACGGTGGTTTGTTACACAGCAACAATCTCAGAATATATGTAGTCTAGTATTAGCTCATGGCAAATACCAACACAGCTCCATACTTCTTGATGAACCCATATTGCCTTTGGCAGATTTCTTAAAATGTTGTGTCTGTGTTGTGTTTTCCACCTGTGTTCTGTTGTGTTGGGAAGCAGCTTTTTTTTCCAAAAAGTACAGATTTCTCATGACAAATATTTCATAGTTGTTTAAAACCTGGATGAATACTTAGCTTTTTTCTTTTCTAACTCTGTATGCATTGTCAGGAGCTATGCAATGAGTTATTTTGGAAGTGTCTAGGAGAGCTTTTTCAAATACTCTTTCCTTACTAAGTATGTAGTATGTGATATTTTTACTATTAAACTGCTCTTAAAAATCTCAGGTGCTTAGGAGTACTGTTCTGAAACTTGATATGATATGATTGAGTTAATGTTTCAAGAGAAATGTCTTTACTGGGAGCTGCTTATACTCAGATTCTTTTGATGAAGTCTAGTGTAGAAGTAGGGAAAATCGTTTTGACTCGTCCAGAGTTAAGGAGCTTGGATGACCTCTGCTCAGTTACTAGCCTGAGTATATGTAATCAGAAATGAAACAATTAAAAATTGCTACATACACTTTAGCATGCCAGTGAAGAGTTTAATCAGAAGTACCTGAAGTGAGAGTGAGTTGTGCAAGATTTGAATTAGAATACATGCTGTCCTTGAAGTTCAAGGGCACCTTGCTGTGTGTTGCATTCCTGTGTGTGGTGCTTCGATGAAGTGACAGTCTTCTGATGTTGTCCTGCCTGTGCCACCTGTCTCTGGCACAGATTAACAAACACAATAATGTGTTCAGGTTTTGAAGCCTGGTGTGCTGTGGTGGAGTTGAGCTGACTTGAGGGGGAGCATTCCAGATGGTAAAGGGGCTGGCATAATCCAGACCGGGACAAAACAGCTCTATTCCTGCCACATAGCAGTGAGTCTGGTTAATGAGGATTTCTGCAGGGCAGGGTTGCTTGGTGTGTAGGCTCAGCGCTGTCCTTGGAGGGGAACGGAGGAGAAGTTGAGTGTGAGTATGCTCAGTGCACCTGAACGCTGGGACAAGGCCATCTGAGCTGGCAAAGGACGACGTCAGAGCTGGCTGTGAGCAGATGATTTCAGAGAAGTCACTGTCTTTGCAGGTACAGGACTCTGTACTTTCTGACCAACTGT